CGCCATCACTCTGCTAAACAAATAATTTCCTCAACACTGTCCAATTATTTACAAAGTCTGCATTACTATTACTATTAATCTTCTCATCACTCCTGATCACCCATCCCCTCCCACTTGTGACTGTATGACTGTAACTTTGTCGCTTGTATACTTACGATTATATTGACTGTTTCCTAGTATGATTTGATTGCTTATTATACCCTATGACTATCATTAAGTGTTGTACCTGATGATTCTTGACGCTTGACGAATGTATCTTTCTTTTATGTATACTGAGAGCATTTGCACCAAGACAAATTCCTTGTGTGTCCAATCACACTTGGCCAATAAAGAACTCTATTCTATTCTATCTATTCTAATGTCTCACCAGAAAACAGAATCAAACACACGAATCTCCATCTTCTCCTTAAGAATGAACTGCTATCATTTCTTTTTTTTTTAAAAAAAAAGAAAGTTATAAAGGGATCTGCACACATTTGAAAGATGAATATTTTGGCCAACATGCTTTTGGGGCTATTTGGAATGAACTGAATAAACAGGGGAAAAAAAGAGAATGAACTACTATTGTTCCCCTTATATTACCATCTTAATAAAATCATTCTTCACTCCTGATGTTCACTTAATCTGGTTATTTATTTTCATTGCTGTTATTTATGGATATATATATTTTTTTAAAAAAAATAGATTGCATAGATTTGTTTTGTTATTTTGGATTGTTGTTGTTTTGCTGAATAAGTGCCCTAATTGTCTTTGTGCAAAAGGCTGTACAGCTACGCATTAAATAAACAAATATTTGAAATTGGTGTTATTAAATTCTAAGAGACTTAGATCTCCGTAAACATGCATAACTCTTAAAGCTTTTTCCACTGGGGCCTTAAGCAGCTTTTGACTCCCTTGCGTAAATAGGCTGGAAATGAAGTCAGCTTAAGAAACCTCTTTCTAGATTTCAGTCCCTTCCTGTACTTTGGTCCTCGGGGATAGCCTGGGATTCTGCCTTTACCCCTCCCACTGTTCTAGGAAGGCAACTACCAATCCCATTTCTTTTCATGCATGGGTCTTTGAGGACATGTGGCTTTCACTGATAAGCCCTTACGTCAGTCGTCCTCCATCGACGCTGCCTTGTACTTGGCGCTTCCCCTGTGATGTGTTTCATCAGTGGCATGGTCTAAGCCACAATAAAACCAAGCATGTTTTATTCTCCTTCCTGTCTCTTGTGTTAAAAGTGGAAAATTAAGAACTCTTAGTCAATTTCACCTTATTTTAAAACTGCACCTCATTAAACTTCCATTTCAGTGAAAATTTCAGTGAACTTCTTAAGGTGGGAAAAAAGAGCTTATCCAGTGATTTTTTTTTAAAAAAAGTCTAGTGTTTCACCAATCCAGCAGTCCAATTCTTTCTTCTTAGTCTTTTGGTTTCTACCAAAACTCATAACTGACCGCTGATCATCAAATGGAACAGAAACAAGGGAAAGAAAAAACAAAAGAGCTGAACGGTGTGTATCTTGTGGCTATTTTGTTTAGTCTGTTTTAGCCTGTGAAAGAATTATAAGCACTAAAGGTTCACTGTTTTAATAATCTACTGTGAAAACAAAGGAGAAAAGAGAGATTCACTGAACAAACTTCCTTCAGAAGAAAACTGGCAGCCCAAGACAAAGATAGCTTTGGAAGGCAACATCCAGAGACGAAGGGAGAATTCCTACCACATTCACATTGGAGTGGAAATAGTCACCTTCAATGAAGTGAAGCGAAGCAGGTGAACCAAACAGTGCAATCTCTACAAGCTCCTATACTTATAAACACAGCTGGAAAAGACTAATGGAAGTTGGTCTCCAGGTGGGCTGGAGACAGAAAGAGGGCAATGCTGGAGAGATGGCTAGTGGCCCATACTTCTTCTGGAACAAACTGGTCATGTGGAGTAACCCTTAGTGTCCATCAGCGGTGGTATGCTACTGGTTCAGACCGGTTCAGTCGAACTGGTAGTTAAAAAACTACCAGTAAAGCCGAATCGGTTCCTCCGACAATCAGCTGAGAGGATAAAAGAAGCGACAAACACATGGGCAGGTGGGAGGGTCACTCCTAGCTTTTCGTTTCTTCATCCTCTCAGCTGACTGGCACTTTAAGGGCACATGCACGCATGTTAGGGGTGCATGCGCATGTTAGGAGTGTGCACGCATGTGCATTAAGGGGCAGGCATGCACGCGCAATCACCCACTGAACCAGTAGTGACCAAGATAGGAAGCCACTGCTGGTGTCAATCTATCATGAGAGAGATAAGAGAAAGTAGAAGAATTTCTCAAAACATGTGCATGGATCTATGCAGTAACCCTTTGCTGTCAAGCCATTTCAGCATCTTAAATCAATCTTGGGCATTCAGACTAGCTCTGGGGCTTCTGTATGCCTGGAATTCTTTCAGAGGAGAAAACAGACTAGGCAACATGGCTGGGCAGGCACACAGGAGTGAGATTCTACCAGTTCGCACCTATTCGCTAGAGCCGGTTGTTAACATTCTAAGCAGTTCGGAGAACCGGTTGTTAGAAGAAATTACTGGCCTAATCCTGTAAGGAAGGCAGGAAGGAAACATTCTGGTGTTGCTTACAGAAACTGCCTCTCCGTTAACCCTTATTACATTCTTGGCAGGGTTAGTCTTCCTGTCTCAGGAACTTCTCTGGAGTTTTTTTTCCCCTCCTTTGCTGGTACTTTGCTTGTGTGGAGTGACCATTCAAAGTTACAATGGCGCTGAAAAAAGTAACTTATGACCATTTTTCACACTTACGACTGTTGCAGCATCCCCACAGTCATAAGAGGCCAGGCAAGGAGATGCCTGCCTCGATGTGATTGATATTGAGTTGGCCACACCCAGCCAATAACATGACCACCAAGCTATGTCCACCCAGTCACATGACCACCAAGCCATGCCCACCAACTAAGCCATGCCCAAATAACCAGTTGTTAAAAAATTTGAATCCCACCCCTGTAGGCACATATGTGTTGGGAAAACAGAGAGCACATTTCACAGCAGCCAGCCACATCAAGCCAAGAAAAGATGCGTCTTCTTTAAGTTTTTAAAAATTCATACAGTATTTCACATACTCTTAAGCAACTTGCCTAGCTTCAAATTTCATCTATACCAATTCACCTGTAACAGTCATCTGTCTTCTGTAAGGTGTTTTCTAGCTCCTCTTTTGTTGTTTACCTATAAGTGAATAATCTGGTAGAGGAGAGAACTAACCAAAAATTCTTGCTGAAAATTTGAAGATTTGCAATAGTGGAGAATATCTGTAGCTCAGGGTGTAGGATGAGGGTGAAGGTTCATTCTCCGAGCTTATGGGTTGATTTCTGAATGTTTAATTTACCAGGCTAGGTAACATCTTTAGCAAAGTTTAGGGGATGCCAGTGTCAGTTTGAAGATTTGTATTATTTTGAAAAGAAAATGTAATACCCCAAATCCTGACTTTAAAATAAGTAAAAGTTAATTTCCCCCCCTCACGTACCACTTCATGGTAAATGATGTGGTAAATGCATTGGGAGTTTTGTTGTACTGATGCAGATCATATATGACACATTTTATGAAATGATCATGGTTTGATCTCTGACTTTAGTTCTGGTAATAATACAAGGCCAACCATAAGGGAAATAGTAATAATAATAGAAAAATGGTAGGCAAGTTTAGGCAGGAGTTGGGGGACAAAGGTCAACTGAGTCATTTAAGCCAATCAGCATTTGTCACCTATATTAAATGGAATTTAGTTTATTATGATCTTATAGTGACTTTAAATATAAAGTCACATAATACACTTTTAAATCATATTTCCATATTTACTAAATTTAAAAAAAATACAACTAATTGTACCAATAGAAGAGAATATTTGCTTGATTGTTTTCTTGCAGACATTGCATTACCCACCTAGGTAGCATCATCAATACTAGAAGGGAATGAGCCTTGCAAAACAACAACAAACACCAAGCTCAGAGAGCAGGAACGACTCTACAGCCAATTTTACAAGTTCCCTTAATTCTTTATGTGTTTGGAGAACAGTATCCTAAAGTGTTTTATTGACCCTTCCTATGTATTTCAGCTTACCGGGCTGGTAGCAATTCTTCTCTTTTCAGAGCTGGATAGCTGGATGATTTTTTAAAAAAATTATTATTATTTTAAATGTTTTGATTCCTTTAAGCATCAGCACTGATTCCTGACTGGACTAATTCCTGCAGTTTTCTTGCCAAATTTTTTCAAAAAGTTAGTTTGTTTCCTTCCCAAGGTTGAGAGAGATGTCTGGCACAAAGACATCTAGTGGAACTAAAGTGGAACTAAAACTCATGACCTCCCACCTTGTAGTCTGATGCCTTAATTATTGCACAAACTGCCTCTCTTATTTGGTGTAGGAATTCCGTGCTATGCTTTTTAGCACTACATACTTCCTACCACGGAGAAAGCAACATCAATCCTTTAAAATGATCCTAGCTTGATTTCTGTATCCAAGATCGATGAATCATTTATACCCAATGCATGTGAATGCAGATCTCCAGGATGTGAAAGATTGTCTATGCAAATCCTCCCTGAGAAAATTAATAACAAGAAAGGTCGAGCAAAAGCAAGTGAAAATATATACGTACACCCTTTACAGGTATCTTTTCTATACTATGCACGATGTAGCAACTGCTAGATTGGTTTAGCACGCTAAATGTCTGATTTAGAATAGGCAAGTTAAGAATGCTGAAGGGTTTAGTGTCCTGACATCCCTTTAATTAGCAGTCACTGGATCCTTCCCTTAAGAAGGCATAAGCTACTGGACGGCTGTCATACTTCAAGGGTTTTAGAAGGTTGGAAAAACCACAGAACAAATCTAGTGTCTATAGTTGGTGCAGATGTAATGAACAACATACCCCTTTCCCATTAGAAGCAAAATCAGACTTTTGCTGGGTTTTGGTGGGGATGCAAGAGTAAAACAACAACAATAACAGCAACAGCAACAACAATCTGCCAAAGAGAAGCCAAGCAGGATGGGTGAAATCAACAAAGAAGATGTTGAAAAATATTTGGAGAACAACCCGCAATTTGCCAAGGAGTTTTATGATAAAAGACTTCGCCCAGAAGCATTAACGAACCTCTTCAGAGTCAACACCGAGAATTTGAAGGAAGGTGTCTCCTTCAAAGAAATGACCAGGGTAGAAGAATGTGAGATACTTTTGGAATTGCTTTCCGAAATCCAGAATGATGAAGCTGGTATGGAAAAGATCTCACATAAAGTCCTGCAAAGGTTGGCACAATTAATAGCAGCCGACAAGTGTAGCATGTTTATTTCCCGTTCTCGCAATGGTACCCCAGAGTTAGCTAGCACGCTCTTCGATGTCACCCCTACTTCCAGTTATGACGACAATTTGGTGAATCCTGACAAAGAAATTGTTTTTCCTCTGGACATTGGGATAGTAGGTTGGACTGCTCATACTAAGAAATCATTTAATGTTCCAGATGTAAAGAAGGTGAGTAGGAATTTCTTCTGAATTTGGAAAATTGATAAAGTCATTTTATGTTTCGGAGTTGTGTAAAAAGACTTTTTTTAAAAAAATTAGGGGGATATAGAACTATAGAGACTTCCATAAATGTGCCAAGTCTCTGAAATGACTGGCAGAACATAATTTTTTTTTTCAAATAGGAAACTATTTAACAATTCATATTCTTCAGCATCTTAAATGAGATTATTTTAGAGCACTATTTAAACTATAGGCAGAAGAAGGAAGGACTGTTATCTCTAAAGCAAATCCATATCTGAGATAGTTGAGTCTAAGCTCCTGCCTACTTTCCCTCCTGATTTCAAACTGGGCTGAAATCAGTGGTGTGATTCAAATAATTTAACAACCGGTTCTCTGCCCTAATGATTTCTTTCACAACCAGTTCACCAAACTGCTCAGAAAGTTAACAACCAGTTCTCCTGAACTGGTGCAAACTGGCTGAATCCCACCACTGGTTGAAATTAGTCTTATTTATTTAACAACATGCAGATGTTGGTTTCCGTATAATTTGAAACTATCACCCTATTTTAGTTTGAAGGAATTCCCTATATCATGAATATTAGATGAACCGTGCTAAGTCCAATGAGGTAAGATTGTTCTTGATCTCCTTGGTTTATTCTCCTGTAATCTACTTTATGAATTAAAAGGATTATCTACCAAGCTCCCTTGTTGATAGCAACAGGCAATGCATCAAATATTGCTTGATATTTCCCAGGTAGCACCTGGGTTGATTTTTGTGCTGCAGAAAGATATTTGACTAAAACAAACCACCACGGGCCAATTCTAGTCTGTGACCATAATAAAGATTGATTGAATCACAATAGGCTTGTGGCTCAATTAATCTAATTCTTGGCTGTGTGGTTGTGTTCTCCTGCAATTATTTCTGAACCAGGGGCATAATCCATTAAGAATTTTCTCTTGGGAAAACAGACTGAAATAAGTAGGAAGTGTAGCATTAAACAAGGATCTAGAATATGATCTGCTTTTTGGGAATCATCCTGAATTGCAGCCAAAATGAATTCAGCAGTTTTGATTTTCATACTAAGTCTGCTCTGTGAGTGTGGGAGAAATTTATTGCAGAATTTTAAATCTTGACATATTTTCATTATTTTCTTTTCCCCTTTCCTTGCCTTCCCTTCTTGTGAGTACAGTTTATACCACTTACAAACTCACAATCAGTGTGCTCCTTTTAGTCAGGCATACCTAAAACTAATAGAATTAATCTGTCAATTTGATGCAGCCTACTAGTTTTACATTTTTTCTTCTTCTTGAAAAGAAGTTTCATTTAATTTTTCATTGATACAGAGAGATGTTTCTATTTCCTCTAATTTAAAGAACATCACTTTGGGAACACTTCCTATGAATTTTACAGATTCATTTTACTGTCCCCTCCCTGTTGTGTGTGTATGTTGTAAGACCAATGAGAAAAGTCTACACTTTCTACATACATATACAGTAGTATATATGTATACAAGTCTCTCTTTCTCTCTCTCTCTCTCTCTCTCTCCCCCTCCCACCTCCCCATATGTGTATGTTAATTGCAAAAAAAGTATGCTCTTTCTGGCTCATTAGAATGCAATATCTAATTTGAGCAGGAGATGATGAACAATAGTTTATTTAATGTGAAATTACCCAGACAAACAGTAATATGCAACTTTTGGAGCTAACATAAAGCCATCTTAGCAAGCTCTCCAGAGACAAAGCCATTCTTCTCCAAAATCAACTAAGCTGTGGATGCAGGAATTCCTGTACTGTGTTTATTTGGTTTCTTCCCATGTGCTCAACTTGGACATCCAGAAATAAGCAAACATTTCAGAAATAATTGAACTGTATCTTCTACTCCCTGCTTTTATGGAAAAAATTGACATTACACATTAACTTGATAATTTCCTAGTGGAAGAGAACATGCATGGATTCGAAAATTACACTCTGCTCCATTTTCTATATCTCTTAGTGGCCATGTGGATTTTTACAGACCAGGTATCGTAATCCTATCAGAAGGAGAACAGGAAGCATTATATTTAACAACCCCCTTTTAACAAAACCAATATTGAAATCTCATGGGAAATCCCCTTTCTTAACGGGAAGATTAAATTTGCAGCAACTCCAGTTTTAGTGCATGTAGAATTTTTGGAATTGGACTATAAAATCCGCATGACAAATTGATGATAGCAACCCGGAAATTCTAGATCTTTCCAAATCAGATCTCATATATGTTAAACTCAGAATAATCCTTTATGTTTAAGCAGATATATCTTGGGAGACCAATTAAAGCGTTTTCATTAATGCTATCCCTCTGGCCTAATTAATTGCATTTCAAAAGAAAATTCCCTCTCTGGAGCCTTGGAAGGAGTGGAAAACGTATTTTTAAAAAAGACAAGATGGTGACCATCACTGCACAAATGAAGCCCCTTTTATTACCTGCTTTTAAGCCTCCTGTAATAGGGGCCTCAATGTGTAAACTACAACTTCGCTAAGGCTAATAACCATTTGATAATTTCCTTTTGGTTTAGGATTTAAAAATGGCTATTTGGTGAGGTATTCCGAGCTTCACACAAAGCTTTGCTATAAAAAGTTGGTTGTTGTCCTGAGGTAAGCAAATCTTCCTGGAAACAGGAAAGAGAGTATTCTCATAATAACAGCGTTTTTTCCACTTCTCATTTCTGAGGAAAGCAATAATTCCCCTTCAAAGTGGGTGAGGTTTGGCAAATTGTCATGTGGGAATCCCTTATGGCTTTCAGGGTGCTTTTACCACAGATGGCTGGATATGATAATCTGTTCATTAAGTTGAGATCTAGAGATCAGTTGGGATTGTTACTATTGTACCAGCTTCTCTGCTGCATGGTGATTCCCTGCCTGAGCATCTTGATTCCATTTCTGGGTTGGTGGAATTCCCTAGACTTACAGTCTTGGGTGATTTCAATCTGCCTTCTCAGGCCATGCGGTCTGAGATAATTCAGGAGTTGATGTCTATCCTGATGCCATGGGCATCATCCACAATCTAACAGGTATTCCTGTCGGAGCAGTGGTTGTAAGATCTGAAATGGCGTAGCTCTTGGTGTCTCCCTTCTCATGGTCAAATCATGCCCTGATTAGCATTGGATTCTCTAGAGTCACTGTCCACTGCAGGGAGGCTGGGCCCACTAGATGGATCTGCCCCTGGTGACAGATTGACCCAGATGGGTTTCAGAGGGAGTTCCTGCTGGTTGCTGCACAGTGCACCTGAGGCCTCCGTTGCCACTTGGAATAGGAGGGCTGCCATGGCTTTTGGTGGGGTTGCATCCATGCAGTTTCTCCCCAGTTGCAGATCCCGTCACTTGCTGTGGTTCATGGATGAGCTGAGGGAGATGAAAAGATGAGAGGAGACATCTAGAGGAGCACTGGTGCTCAGCAAAGGATGAACTTGACCAAACATGGGTTAGAGCTGCTATTAAGGCCTTCCTTGTGACATTAAGGGTAGTAAAGCATCAATGCTTCTGCATCTTTTCTGCATCTGTGGATTACCATCTTCTGACCTTGTTTAGGGTGAACGTGTCAACTTGGGAAGAAAGGGCTCAGAGAACTTCTTGCAGAGATGTGCAGGATAATTTGCTCAGTATCTATTGGACAAATTTTGCTTACATTTGTTGGACTCCAGCCTTGCTGTAGGTCCAGAGAAGATGCCTGGGGAGGAGCCTTGCGTTGTTATTTGTTTTGAACCGCTTGGGACTGAGAAAATGGACAGGGTCTTTTAGGACTGTTTTCTAGATGCATGCAGCTCCTGGCTTGTTAAAGTAGCCTGAGAGTTGTCACATAAGTGGACCCACTAGTGGTGTCTTGAATGAGAGTTGTTCCTTTACCTCTTAAAAAGGACTTGGTTTGCTTCCTCCTCAGGAAGTCATCATTGGGTCCCACTATTCTGGGCAATTCTCATCCATTATCTAACCTCCATTTTCTGGGGATGGTGATTGAGAAGGTGATTGTTAGGTGTAGCTCCATTCAAAATCCAAGAAAGAAAACTTCAGGCTCCATTATTATAGAGAAAAGGGCCTTTACTGAATTTGAAGTGGTAGCATAAGTAGAAATACAAGATCTGAAGCAATTGGCGCGAAAATCACACATAGAAAGTTACCCCATGTTCCCATCCCCAATAATTCAAAGTGGCCAGGTGTGTATAATGTCATGTGAGGCATCTTCAGGTGGGGTTTCACACATCTGGTATGCCAAGATGGTTGACCTTGGCCTAGAGAAATAAGAGGCTATATCTGTGCAGTAAGCAAGTAAGCATAGTCAAGAAAACACCCCAACTTTTATATTTCACCAACTTAAACCTCCAGCATTCTTCCCCCCAGAAGAATGATTCTTGGAGGCTGACAGTGATTATGCAGAAGTTTTAGAGAACCTTGGATGAAGTGGGTTATCTGTTTTCCTTTCAGTCGGAATTCAGGTCTTGGTATGGAATGGAAGTGGCACTGATTGTAGCTTTAGATGCTCTCTGGCAAAACAGGATGGACAATCATTCATCCATCCTTGCCCTCCTTGATCTCTCTGTAGCTTTTGATACCATTGAACATAGTATCCTTCTGGATTGTCTGAGGGGATTGTGGGTAGGTGGCACTGTGTTGTTGTCAGGTCCAGTTGGGGTATGTTCAAGCAGGAGAGATCCTGCCCGAGAACCAAGTATGTGAGAGGATAAGGAGTTCCCTGCTCTTATTCAATATTTATGTGAAGCTGTTGGGTGAGCTTATCTGTCACCATGGGGTGAGGTATCGCGGACCTGGTGCACAATCTGTGGACCTCCTAGACTCAGGTCTGCAGATTGCAGTCGTGGCTAGAAAAGCTTTTGCACAGCTTTGTTGCATACCAGTTACACTTGTTCCTGGATTGGGAATCTCTGCTCACAGTTACTAATACCTTAGTCACCTCCTGATTGGATTACTGTAATACACTTTACATAGGGCTGCCCTTGAAGATTATCTGGAAGCTTCAGC